ATAGAATCAATTTCATAAGAAAATACTACATTTTCAATAAAAATTTCGAAATTAATTAAAAATTCGTTCGTGGGGCCCACATCTCGAAATTCGACGAAAATTACAAAATCTGACAACCCATTCAATAACGAGTCCAACCATACCAGTTTCACTCAAATCCGACTCTGAATCGATACTGAAATCTCAAAAATTCGTTTCTATGAGATTTCTAAAAATTTCTCAAATTTCCATCTCCATACACTAATTAAATGGTGAAAACAATGATATATTCGTGTATATTGACCAAATCCGAGTTAGAATCACTTACCCAAATATTTTTCCTTGAAAATCTGCCAAATATCTCTTCTGCTCAAGCTCAAGTTCATCAAAAATGGTAAATGGGACGAAGTTCCCTCCTTTATAATCTGCCCAGGCAGCCTTCGGAACTGGGCCACGATCGTGGCTTCGATCATGGCCCTCGAGCCTAGGCCTCGATCGTGGCTTCGGTCATGGCCCTCGAGCCTAAGCCTCGGTCATGGTATCGATCCTGGACTTCGTTCATGGCCTCGATCATGGTATCGAGCCTGGGCCCTCGATCATGGCATCAAGCCCGGGCCTTCGATCATGGCCTTAATCATGGCATCGAGCCTGAGCCTTCGATCATGACCCTTGATCATGGCATCGAGCCTGGGCCTTCGATCATGGCATCGATCCTGAGCCTCGCCCCTGGCTTCGACCCTGGCTGTCGACCCTGAGTTCGATCTTGGGCTCGATCACAACCTAGAATATCCAGCAAAAGGAAAAATTGTAGCAGCTTTTTAAGTCCAACTTTTGATTCGTTAATCATCCGAAACTCACCCGAGGCCCTTGGGACCTCAACCACATATACCAAGAAATCCTAAAATATTATACGAACTTATTTGAAACCTCAAATTACATAAAACGATGCTAAAACCACGAATTATGCTCCAATTCAAGCTTAATGAAACTTAAAATTTCCAACTTCTACATTCGATGTCGAAACCTATTAAATCAAGTCGGATTGACTTCAAATTTTGCACACAAATCATAAATGACATAAAGGAGCTATGAAAATTTTTGGAACTGGGTTTCGACCCCGATATCAAAAAGTCAACTCCCCGATCAAACTTCCAAACTTAAATTCTTGTTTTAGCTATTTCAAGCCTAATTTAGCTACGGACTTCCAAATAAAATTTCGAACACGCTCCTAAGTCCAAAATCACCATACGGAACTGTTGGAATCGTCAAAATTCTATTCCGAGGTCGTTTTCTCAAAATATTGACCGAAGTAAAACTTGGCCTTTTAAAGCAAACTTAATGAACCAAGTGTTCCGATTTCAACCCACACACTTTCAAATCCCGAACCAACCATTCCCGCAAGTCATAAATCATTAAAAGCACATACATAAAGTTTTATTTTAGGGAACGGGGTTCTAAAAGTCAAAATGACTGATTGGGTCATTACAGTCCCAGGCTCTGCTTCACCCGGCCTTTCTGTGGCCGGTTTATTTCTGCGGGCATTTTTCCGGGACGATTCGGGCTCAACTATGCTGGGAGTGCAGCTTTGGTTTTGCAACTGGGCTATCGCTGCCTGATGAGCTTGTAATATTTCGAAGATCACGGGCAAGTTGATCCCGTCACTTTCGCGTTGTGTGTACTCCGGGCCATCGACCGGGCTCCCCTGCGAATGTTATTTTCGGGGTTAGTAGGCAAGTTTACTTCGATAGCCACATGTGAGTTAGCGTCGATCGGATCAGCGACTGGGACACCATTGGGGTCAGTAGGGGGCACCCGTTGCTGGGTACCACATTGTTATTCTCGCCATGGTGGCCGGACTCAGCATCCACGTTCAAAAGGGCAGATTGGGAATTCGACATTTTAAATTTTGAACTGAAATTAAAAGCTCAAAGAACAAATGTAAAATAGAGTGTGTTATGTAAATTTGTATCAAATTGCCACTATTATTCTTTGCCCCATGGTGGGCGCCAAACTATTTACCCTAAAAACGGATAATACTTAAATTTATATGTGATTTTAAGGATACGCGAATTAATTTAATATAAACGATAAATTACGTTAGATTAAATAGATAAAGGACGTAATAAATTGTCAAACCACTTAAGGGGGTGATTCCGGACTCAATAACAACCTTTAAGAAGATAAAGGACGTAATAAATTGTCAAACCACTTAAGGGGGGATTCCGGACTCAATAACAACCTTTAAGAAATGCCTGCCCTCAATCTTGGACTCGCAATAATGAAGCACTGATGAACAAAGTGAGAATCTTGAATAACAGAGAAAATAAGAGTATATTGCCTTGATATGCATGTTATAGTGTGGCTAATGAATAATCAGACCCCCCCTCCCCTTTATATATTAGGGGAGTTCTACTCTAAATACAATTCCATAAAAAGTAAAAATATTCCATTTAACCAATCACCGGATTTGCGCCGATACGTGCCGAGATCCTTGCCGTGATATCTGGCTGGCCACGAATATCACGGCCTTTTGTTAATCGTGCTCGATTGCCTGATAGTGCTCTCTGAGGCCTTTTGGGATTTGAACCGATCCCGGGGTCATGGCTCCGATATTTTTGAGGGTGGGTGTTTTACCCCGCACCCCGGGTCGAGGGGCTTCTTGCCTCGATTCCGGTTCCTTGCCATCACATTCCTTACTCCGTTTACTTCATCGGAAACGAGGCGTCTCAAGGGTTCGATTTCACCCGTATACAGGGTTTCTCTCATAAAAATTCCCGCAAAAATAAATTGAGAGAGTACTAAACTTACAGAACAGTTAATGATAGATACAAAGTGAAAATTTCTGTCGATGAAAATTCTAGTCTTTTTTGTATTCATTCAACGGCGATCCACTTACTCTCGAAATGGATGGAGTATTAATTTTATTCAATTCTTGATTTTAGGTTGTTGAGTTTTGACTAGAGAGAGAGTATTTCTTTTTCCAAGGAAATTACTTAGGGAGAATATTTCTTCTTCCACACCCATATATTAAGAGGGAAAATATTTTTGAAAACTTTACATAACTGTCACAATTTAAAATAAATATAATAAATTCGTAGCATGAAATTCAATATTACAGTTGTAGCAGAAAAATATTTATATTTGTATCACACAGCTCCATTAAAATAGGAATATTAATTATTAATCTCTAAACATAAGCAATTTGAATGAAAAGTCAATAATTCTTTGTACAAAAATCATGCCTTTTTTTCTCTTTATCTATTAGCTTTCCTTCTTTTTCTTCATCTTCTTAATTTTATTTTCTGCCGAAGCCAATATGTTTTCTAAATTTGTTCGATTCGTTTTCTTTTTAATTATCTTTCTAAAGTTTTTCTCTTCCTTCTTTCTCCCTTTCTTAACATAAAGATCTTACTTCGATAATAATATACGTTAATATATACAAAATATATATTAAATTAACACATATAAAATATATAAAAAATATACATAAAAAATATATCTTCAATTAAGATGACACTTAGACATGTGAAATATACATAAAAAAAGATATAACTTAAATTTAATTAAGATGGCATATAAATATACAAAAAAGCATATATATATATATATATATATATAATACATCCTGAATTAAAATGGCACTTGACATATAAAACATATTTGAAATATACATTAAAAATACATCTTAAAATAAGATGGCACTTCACAAATAAATATACAAAAATTATATACATAAAAATACATTTTGAATTAAAGTGATACTTGATATACAAAGTATAAAAGACGTATAAATCAATACATCTTGAATTTAGATAGCATTCACATATGCATCAGATTTTAAAAAATGGAGTGAAGAAGATGAACGTTGGGCTTAATTTTTGTAATATGCTAATAATGAAAAAAAAAGTGCTCTTTATGAAATAAAAAATAAATAATACTATTTTTTTAAATAATAGTTAAAAAATGATCAAGTGTGTAAAAACTCTTCTTAATTGGTGTGATGGATAAACCCATAAAAATCACGTATTAATGACCGCAATGAGTATTCTTGAATAAGATGGAGTCTACGTGGGCGTTTGGACGTAAAAATTGTAAAATTTCGAAAAAAGTGAATTTTTTTCAAGTGAAAATGATATTTGAAAATTATAATTGTGTTTGGACATGAATATAATTTTGGGTTGTTTCTGAATTTTTGTGAGTGATCTGAGTGAAAATTTTGAAAAACAGCTTTTTGGAGTTTTTAAAATTTTTGAAAATTTTCAAAATTCATCTTAAAGTGAAAATTAAAAATTTTATGGCAAAACACTAATTTCGAATAAAAGTGAAAAAATTTCGAAAAAAAGTAAAAATCATTTCATGGCCAAACGGACTCGTATACATCATTGTAGAGATGATCGCTTTTTCTCCAAACAGATTTTCTCTTGAAATCTTTGCTTTAATAATCAATTTTCAAGTCTTTGATGATTAAACTCGAGCTATTACAACTAAAATTACTTAATTTTATATTTTTCTCCAAACAGATTTTCTTGATTAATCTCTCTCTCTATCTATATATATATATATAAGAGGGACAAAAGAAGCTGATGTGGCACCTCTTATAAACTAGGATTAGTATTTATCTTTTTTCTTAAAATTTTGCTTTTTAACTCATTTATTTCATTTAACACTGAAACGTCATTACATTAAATTGTTTTAATTACACTTCCCTCTTTCCCTCTTTTTCCGTTAACCTCTTCCTCTCTTCCTTAAAATTGCAACGGTCCAAATTTATTACCATGTCGTTTTCGGACGTTATACATCCCCACAAACGACACAATAGTTTTCTCAAATTGCAAAGAATTCTCTATGTAAAAATCACTCTCCGGGAAAACAACAAAAAGGCGATGAAGACTACACATTCCAATTGTAAAAGAGGTAGTTCATTTCTTAAAATTCTGTCTATTTTCTTTTCGAGTAGATGTTCATAGATTTTTGTAAGCATATTTATGTTGGAATTGTTATGGGTTCTCTTGAAGGTAGACAGCACATTCCAATTGTAAAAGACATAGTTCTTTTCTTAAATAGTTTTTTCCCCCTTCTTATAGATGTTCAAAGATTTTTGTAGGCATATTTATGTTGGAAATTGTTATGGGTTCTCTTGAAACAGCATGTGGACTCTATTATATTGGAACTTGAAGATGAAAATTTGGGACTTTTCCCTTTGAGTTTCTAAATATGGAATATTCATCATAGATTTCCAAAATGAGATTCTGAAATTTGTTGATGTCATATAATGAATGTCCTATGACGTTCACCTTTGATCTTTCGAACCAGAAAGCCTAATCCATGGGAATTTTCAGCCAATCTAAGCACGGCGAGGAACATAGGGCCTTTCATTGTGCACTCGAGCAATGAAAGATGGAAGTGGTTGTTCAAAGTCTTTTTTGGCATGTCTGTTATTATTCTAAAAGTTCATCATTACATGCTGTGTAGTACAATCACATTCTCTTCATTGTATTTCAGTAATTCTTGAATTCTGACTGAGATGTTAGGATGACTCTTCTCTGAGTAAAGTACTGTTTTCTACTCAATGTAGTTTTCATTCTTGATAATGCCGCATATATAGGAAATGTTGAGTACTATAAGTATAGTGACTGGATTTTCTTTAGAAGATGAATTCTGTATATCGCCTTCTCAATTTTTGTATGGTAAGAATTGATTGCCTTCTTATTATATGTGTGATAAGCTTTGACTGTGGATGCGGAATTGAATATTTGATAATCTTTCTGTCTTTATTTTTGTAGGTCTTCACAGTTTGAGGATTTTATTGAGAATAAAATTTCTTGATAAACTTATTTTAGGAGGATGGGAGTATCGTTTTCTTCACAGTTTTGTACCTCTCTTTGGCCAAGAAAAGTACTTATTTTTGTTCTCAAATGTTTGCCTTTTATCTTATTTTTCTACTAAATATATGTTTTCTTTTTTCCAAGAGAAAAAGTGAAACAACTGCCATTAAAATTGTAACATATGCAATAATACATATTTTGCTACTCTTAATCTGTTGCAGGCTTCCAAGAGAAAAAGGAATAGGGAAGAGAATAACATATGTCGCTACAAATGACATTATTTGGGGAGTCAAATACAAGCTTGATGAAGATGCTATCATCAATGATGTATGCATATGTTGGTACTCTTAATCTGTTGCAGCTTGTAATTGTAGTGTGAGTTCATATGTAATAGTTTTGCTTTTT